GGCGGAAGCCGCGCAGCAGCTGCAGGCCGAGCTCGACGCGGCGCGCGATGAGTCGACCGCGCAGGCGCGCGAGGCGCTCGCGAGCCAGCACAGGCTGGCCGGCAGGTGCGCCCCTCTCTGTAGACGACCCACTCCCCTGCCCACCATCCGGCCGGGCCGGGCCCCCACCACCTGTTCCCGAAACCTGGGCTGCGGTAGATGCACAACTCAGGGCGTGTTTGCCGCCCGCTGACTTGGCCGGCAGCATCTCATCAAAAAGCACGCACAACACGCAGTTGAAGACCACCGCTTCTGACCGTCACACCTGCTCACATCTCATAATGACGTGTTGATCGGGTGTCAAAACCCTAAACCCTGATCACAGGCTGGTGGAGGCGGACGCCGAGCTGCATGACCTGCGGGAGGCGCTGGGCGCGTCAGAGGACCGCGCGCGCCGCCTGGAGTCCAAGCTCTCGTCGGCGTCCGCCGCCGGCGACGCGGCGGCCGCGAAGCTCCGGGCGGGGTGGGAGGCGGCGGAGGGGGCGCACCGGGACGCGCAGGCCGCGCTGAGGCAGGAGGTGGGGGGCGGGGCGCGGCGGGGCGGGGCGCTCATGTTTGTGCTTGTCGTGTTGGTTCGACGGTGTGCTGTGCGGGCCGTTGCTGTGGATATGCATCTGGAGCCTGAGCAGGGCTTGGGGCCAGAGGGCAGCTGACGAGGGGCGCTGGCGGGCGGCTCGAACCACTCTGAGCACCGGCTGCAGGAGCCGGTCCATGTGCGGGTGTGGCCCATGTGCCCTCCCTGCCTCCGCCCCCGCCAGGTCGACGAGCTGTCCAGCCGTGCGCTGGCCCTGGGCCAGGACAAGGAGCAGCTGCAGGGCGGCCTCGCGGCCGCAGGGGCTGACCTGGCGCTCGCGCGGCAGCGCATGGCAGCGCTGGAAAAGTGAGCCCCCCCCCTTTCGACCGGGCCCGCAGCCCTCGTGCTAGGGCCTGGTGGGGTAGCAGGCGCTCCCTTGCATATCCCATGGCATTCTGTGCTGCCCAGGGCTCCCTACTGCTTCGATTTGGGGTGAAACAAGTGTCCAGCACGAAAATGTGGATGGTTTACGCCGGCAGCGCAACAAGCTGCAAACCGACCGGCCTCGCAGGGAGAAGGAGCAGGGGGCGCGCGCGCTGTCAGAGGCGCGCTCTGAGGCGTCCGAAGCGTCGCGCCGCCTGCTGTCCGCGACAGAGGCGCTGGCGGCCGCGCGCGCGCTGGCGGGCGAGCGCGAGCGCGAGCTGGCGGCCGCGCGGCGCGGCGCGGATGCGCAGGCGGCGCGCTTCGAGGACGCGGCGCGGGAGGCGGCGGGGCAGGTGGGTGCTGACGTGGCGGCGGCGTGCCCGCGCACAATTTCCCTCACGCGCGACGTGCGCCGTGCGCCCCCCTGCCACGCCTTCCTCTAAGCCGCCGGCGGATGAGAGCGGCGAAGCTTCTTTACCTCACCTCACCTCACCTCACCTCACCTCACCCCTTCCCCCCCTTTCCTCCTCTTGCCCCCAGCCTTCGACGTCCTCCGGCACAACGCACACCCCACTCTGTTGCCCCATCTCCTTTACCCCCCAACCTGAAAGCCCTCAACTACCCCTCCCCCCAAGAAACTCCCAACCCCAACCGCCTACCCCCAGGTGTCCCAGCTGCAGCGTGAGCTGGTGCAGGCCCAGGAGGCCCTCATCTCGCGCGACTTTGAGGTGCGCCATTCCCCCCACCCCAATCCCCCCTGCCACGTTTCAACATGGGAGAGGTGACCGCGGCTAGCAGGCGCCCACAGCTCCTTCCCAGGAACAAGGATGCGGTCCGGCAGCACTCGACGCACCTGGATGGGTCGTCGTCAGACCTGGCTTGGGGCAGCGAGCCCCCTGATTGCGGTGCAGCTGCTCACATCACGACGCACACCGACCGCCTGGCCCTGCTGTGCACGGCCCCTTTCCCGTCCCCCACAACACACACACACACACACACACACACGTGTTGCCTGCACCAGGCCAAGCGCGTCGGCAAGGAGGCGGCCGCCAACGCGGACCGGCTGGACAGGAAGCGCGCTGAGCTGGCGGCGGCCCGCGAGGTGCGCGCCAGGCCCCTGTCGTCCGCCCCGCGCTCACGGGCCACTTCGTGGATTCGGCGGCGCGGCGCAAGCGCCGAGCGAGCTCGGGTGTTTCAGCAGCCCTCGTCACTGCTTTCAAGAGGGGAGGGCAGTTGTTCGTGCAGCTAAATTGTGAATTTTTTGGTCAGTTCATTGATGGCAGTCAATCCCCCGTTGGGCCCCTGGACCCTGCCGCCACGCCCCTGCCCTCCCGCAGGACCTGGCGGGTGTGCGGCAGCTGCTGGCAAAGCAGGAGGCCCTGACACGGGACAGGTGACAGCCCGCGCGCATGTGGCAGTGGGAGGGGCAGCTCAGGGCAAGGGCGGAGGGGGGTGCAGCTGGGTGGGGCTGCGGAGTGCTTGCCACTCGCAGCGCGGTCTCATTGTCTTCTTATCACTACCTTGGCGCCCTGGCTGCACATTCACTCACCCTCGCATCGCTTGAGCCTCGCATTCGCTTCCTTGTGCGCTGCGCGGTACCATGATCCGACACACGCAAGCGCGCACCACACACACGCGCCCCCCAGTCCAGATCGCCCAGCCTCCCGATGAACTGGATTCATCCCTCTCCTTGTTCCCCACAAACGCCCCAACCCCCCGCCCTGCCCCTCACGTCTGCCCGAAACACAGCACGCTCCTGAGATCGGCAGCTCCTCCACTGCTCTGCCCTGGCAAAAGAACAGCCATGCCCGGGCCCCCGCCTCGTCAGTCCAAAGCCGCGCCCCCTGTCCACGCACCCCTCACCCCGCCCCTGGCCCCACCCCCAAATGACCCCCAGGGAGGCCCTGGTGGAGGACCTGAAGCGCCTCAACGCGGCCGCAACACAGGAGCTGGACGCGCTGCGGCGCCAGGCGCGCGGGGGTTGGGATTCGGGGGCTTTGGGGTGGTCGCGCATGCAAGGCGGCGCAAAACAATCGCGCTCCTGCCAGGGACGGGGGTGATGATGCGCAGCTTGGGCAAACAGGCGCACCCGTTTGCACACTGCAGTCGGCCACAATACAGGAGCTCTCTCCCTGCGTGACGTGGTGTCACGACATGTGTCAGCACCCCTCGAGCCCTACTCTGCAGTTGACTGCCCCTTTTCAGTCACACACACACACACATGTGCACGTGCATACACACAAACACATACACACACACGCACACACACACACACACACACACACACACGCGCGCGCGCGCGCGCACACACAGGCCAGCCGCGAGGTGCAGGACCTGCAGTCGCGGCTGTCTGACGTCATCGGCCGCAACAGCGACCTGGAGATTGGCTCAAAGGAGTCCATGCTGGTGGGCTGGCTTGAAGGGGGGTGTGAAGTTTGGGGTTTAGGGTTCAGGGGCGGGGCCAGGGGTTGAGGGAGGGGGCTGGTGAAAGAGGGGTCCGTTGGTTTGCGGGGGAGGTCACAATATGATGGGGGGGGGGCAGTTTTGTTTGAGGGCGATGCATGTGGACGGTTTGGTGGTGACGGTGTTGTTGTTCACGGTGGTGATAGTGGGAGGGGGCTTGTAGGGACACGGGCGGCACGGTGCGATCCGTTCTGTTATGAGATAGGACGACCACCCCATCCGGCGGGGCGTCCCACGGGGCTGCGGCAGCGAGGCGTGAGACGCGGCAGGCCCACAGGCGTCCAGCTGTCGACCGCGGCGCCGGCGCCCTGACAAACAGTAGACACGTGCCCGCACGTGCGTGCCGACGCCGACCGCCCGCAGGCCAATGCGCGCCACGCGCGGGCGCTGTCTGAGATCAAGCGTCTCGTGGACTGGGCCGGGGACGACCCCCGCGGCTCCCGCGTGTTCGGCTCCGGCCGCCTGCAGGCGGCCATGCGCGCCGCCGCGGGCGCTGCGGCGGGCGACGGGCGCGACAGCCGGACGCCGAGCCCGGAGCGCGCGCGCGGCGGTGGCGGGGGCGGGGGCGGGGGCGGCGACGCTGGTAGCCCGGGCAGCGCGGGCAGCCCGGTGTCCAGTGCGGGGGAGGAGGAGGAGCAGCCGCAGCAGCGCCGCCGGCGGTGGGCCGCGGGCCGCGGCGGAGGGGACGGGGTTGCCAGCACGGGGG